ATCCATGTCTTTCCACCCACAGTGACTTCCCTTGCTCATTAATAGCTAAAATTCCAAGGGGTTTCATTCCTTTGCCTTAACATTTTCCTTTATTTTTTATTTGTTTAGTTTGGTGGGGGGGGGGTCTTGTTTTGCTTTTGAGGCAGATTCTCACTCTGTCATCCTGGTTAGAGTGTCATGGGTTCATAGCTCACAGCAAACTTAAACTCTTGGGCTGTAAACTATAGTGATTCTCTTGCCTCAGCCTCCCAAGTAGCTGGGACTGTAGGCACCTGCTGCTACCGCTGCTAGTTTTTTCTAGGTCTTGCTCTTGCTCAAGCTGGCCTAGAACTCCTAAGCTCAGGCAATCTACCTTCTTCAGCCTCCCAGAGTACTAGAATTACAGGCGTGAGCCAGAGCCCCCAGCCCTTTTATTTTTTAAAGGAAATTCTTTTCTGAGATTGCCTAATCTACATCTTAGAATAAGTGGATTTATCAGATTATTAGAAAAGCTGCTCATAGGAGAATTAATAGCTGAGAGGAGTTGGGAGTCAGCTGAGAATGGGAATTTCCCCCATCAACAAATAAAGCTACAGAAGGAAAACTGAGAGTTAATGATCATAAACCTTACTCAGTTTATAATTCTGAATAGCTTCCAATATAGTTATTTCCCATTAAACTTGCTTCTGTCTTGTCAATTTCTTAGGACTAATTTTTATTGGTTATTTCTAAGAAAAAAAATACTAGTTGGATGACAAATTAACCACCTTTCAGTCTAAAAACTGATATACTCAGAAATTAAGCATCTTTTCTAGTGTCTCATAAGTAATTTCCTCTGTGTTTGACAGTGTAAAAGAGTCTTGATCAGGGTGGCACCTGTGGCTCATGGGTAGGGACCTGACCCCATATACCAAGGGTGGAAGATTCAAACACAGCCCTGGCCAAACTGCAACAAAAAATAGCCAGGCATTGTGGCAGATGACTGTAGTCCCCAGCTACTCAGGGGACTGAGGCAAGAGAATCGCCTAAGCCCAGGAGTTGGAGGTTGCTGTGAGCTGTGACACCATAGCAGTCTACCAAGGGTGATAAAGTGAGACTGTGTCTCTAAAAAAAAAGAAAAGAAAAAATTTAAAAAAAATAGAAGAGTCTTGATCACAGGTTAACCCAGGGAGAGTGAGTCATCTACTTGTCTCAGCAGAGCTGTGGGAAGAAGGGATTATGTGTGTGTGTGTGTGTGTATTATGTTAACTCTTGTGCTTCTACTTAAACATTTCTGTTTGAGACGTAGACTGAGTGCTAATGGCTGCTTTTTACCATCTAGTTTGGAATTAGCCAATATTAGCACAGCATAGTTTCTCCTTTAAAAGGTTCTATCTTCTGTTTTTGGAATTTATTCAAATTCTTCACATTTCATTCATTCATTCAACTAGTTTTTTTTTTTTTCAGATTAATATGAGGGTACACACAATTGTACATTGCATTATTTGTGCTTTCTGGGTAGACTCCAAGTTGTAGGTGTGTCATGTACCCTATATTGTGCCTGTTAGGTGAAAGCACACCAATCCCCTTCTCTCTGCCCCTTGATTTTAATGTGATTTTCTCTTGTGTGGGCATGTATTTGTTCATCTACTGGTTTCATATTAGTATTGAGTACATTGGATATTTGCTTTTCCATTCTTGTGATACTTTACTAAGGGGAATATTCTCCAACTCCATCTGGGTTAGTACAAAAGGTGTAAAGTCTCTATCTTTTTATGGCTGAATAGTATTCCATGTATATACATATACCACAGTTTATTAATCCATCCATATGTTGATGGGCACTTGGGTTGATTCCACATCTTGGTGATTGGGAATTGAGCTGTGATAAACACTCTAGTGCAAATATCCTTATGATGAAATGATTTTTTTTTGTTCTGGGTAGATGCCTAGTAATGGGATTTCAGGATCAAATGGAAGGTCTAATTTGAGTTCTTTGAGGATTCTCTATACTTCCTTCCAAAGAGGTGTATTAGTTTGCAGTTGTACCAACAGTGTAAAAGTGTTGCCTTTTCTCCATACCCTCTCACCAGCACCATTTAAGTATTTTGGATACTGAGAACTCAATGATGAGGAAAAACAGACACAACCCTTTCTCTTTTGATATTTACAGACTAGAGGGAGAACAAACCTTAGTTAAAAATAAACTGCATAATTTAAGTTTATGGGATACATTACAAAGGAAAGTTATATGGTTCTATAAAAGTGCATAATAGGAAGAATTGACTGAGGTGGTCAGAAGGGCCAGGAACATTAAAAGTAAGGGGAGCAACATGTACTAAGGTCCTGTGATATGACATTTTAAGGGAATGTGACTTTTAAGAAACTAAAGAAAATGAGAACGGTAAAAAGTGAGGCAGAAAGAAGTAAGCGTTACTTCTACATATTAGATGTTAGAATTTCTCATTTTTTGTCCTGAGAGTAATGGCAAACCCTTGAAAGGTTTTAAACTAGAGAAGGACATGGCTAGGCAAGGACTGAACCTTGAAAGGCTTTGCTCTAGATGCAGTACCAAGGATA